CCAAAAGTTCGTATCTCACGCAGCTCGAACCATCCAACTCCCGGGAAGTAGTTGAGCACCGTTTGTCCATAATTGGCTGATCAGTAATATGAATAGTTCCCGATTACAAAGGACGTAACTTCACTAATCCCTCACCTACGTAAACTTAGATTATAATCACTCTGTTTCATGTATAGACTAAATCGGTAAGTTGACAAGAACTCTTACGTGCTAGTCATCCAATCGGCCGTCAGTGAAATGTCTACCATCCAATCCCACATTTGTATTCCGCATTCGATCGCCTGCTTTTATGATCGAGCTTCATAAACTGTTAGTTTACGAGAGTATGCCGCATAGAATGATGTCTACTTTTGTAGAATTGTTTTGTGTTTGGTCGTCTGAAATGTATTTTCAATGGAGATTATCCTAGCCGGATAAATCAAACTTGTGATTTATGAACCGAAGACCCTGATCTTAGAATGGTTCATTTTCCATGCAATTATCTTGACTAAGACCGACGCTTTTACAGTACCAGTGAAAAGAGGAAGTCCTTTCACTGCAAAATTATCTATTAGCGAGCACAAACGAAGCAGGTACAAGTCACTACGTAGGAAGTAAACACCCGATGAGCTTTTAAAAACAGAGTAATCACAGGCGTTTCTTTAAAATTTCCTGAACGTTTGTTGAACATCAATAGTAAACGCCAACTGTAAAGCATCCTCAATTTCCATGCGGCGCTTTGACACCGAACCATAAGCTCCTCGTATGCTTCATCGGCAGTGTGCACAATTATCCCGGTAGCATTCTGACAACAACCAGATTAACCCCCGCTAGACTGACTTTTTTGAAGGTTAACGTTTCAGGGATCGAAATTTAAATTTCGAATGTGCTTTTGTCAAAAATTTTTAAAACACAATTTCTACATCAAAATATATTTTCAACTTCTAACGTTAGTACGGTAAATCATCACAAAGCAAATGTAAATGTTCAACAATTTGAATATGCACACGCATCAAGAATATGTATTTTGTTGTTTCGCTAGTATTATGCGGATAAACTGACCCAATGCGATATACTGAGATCAGGAGTCTACATCATTCTTCGTGTCTTCTGACCTTCAGTGGACAGTTCAGTTGACTAGATTTATTCCACAGCTAAAGGTCTATTGTTACATGCCTTTCACATTTCATTTTGGGTATAACAGTACTACAGTGGTATATACGGTCAGACACAAAATACTCGAAAATGTGAGGTGACGCACAAAAGTGGGGTACTCTCGAATTTATGCTACATAAGATATAAGATTTCTACTACTCCAAATTGATAAGTTTGACTATATTCTACATTTTCTTCCGAATTTTTCTTCATTACCCATGAAAATCCCGGTGATTTTTAAGTACAGCACGTTTTCCGGTTTGCACCTGTCAGAATGAATTCCCCAAGTGCTGTTTAATTTGATTTATAGTAATCAAAGTTTTCACCATTCTTGTGTTTAATCCATTGTCATACACTGTTAGAAAATCACGCACTCAATACCTAGAGGACGGGGTATGAGAATTGTCTGTCATGACTTTATTCAAGCGTTCGTTACCAAAAATCAACCGGTTTTTCCACGTATTGCGTAGGTTCTAACATTCACATGGTTTGAATCTGACTATTTGTATTTGCTAAATAGGTATGGAATCAACGGAGGTATCCGACTATCAAAGCTGATCACTGGCAACCGACGAGCTAGTTCAGTGGATGTGATCATATATATATATTTTGAGATGACAGGACACCCAACTGTTTAGCTCTTTTAGAATAATGTCATCCTCTTAAATATGAGGCATTATTTTTGACACATTGCACTAATACATAAAGACCGGATAGTAAATTCTGCTTTCTAACCAACACATTTATATCATATGTCCTGGCACGGAAGTTAAATTAAAGCTGACATGCTTGGTGGCTCGTGTAATTAAGGTTAATTTTTCTTCGAGGAATCAAGTACTGGTTCCCTAACAGCTGTGTATAGATCAACGCATTAACACACTATCTGCATTAGCTGTCCAGCTGATGGGTATTTATTTATTCACTGGGCTAAAAAATACGATCAGCATAATAACACAACCCGTTTGTGCAATAAGTTTAACAACACAGTGAAAAGAAGGAAAGTGCTCGGTGCACGCAATACCAATAAAAAGGAAATTTTTTGTGGATTCTGCAAAGCAGAACTTTGTTGCGTTTTTACAGATTGATCGAGCGATAGAGCGAAGCATGTTAAGTCCAAAGTAGCCCAAGTGTTACAAGTTTTTTCTTGATTCACAGTGAATGTTTGATCAACTGATTGCTGCTGTCTCGGTAGATTTATAACGACAATATAAATTCTGGCTTTTGAACAGCCTGGTTATTTAGAACCAAAATATGTCTGCCTACTTTTGAGTAGGTAGCTAAGGATTAAGGAACGATTCCAACCTTCGGACTGTCAAAAGCTTCTGGATTCAAATGATAACGCTCCCGTTTTCCCGTCTCCGTGATATCCATATGTCCTGCCTGTATAACATTATCTGTTCTTAATTGTGAACTGATATACTCAGCGGAATTCGCTGACCAGCCAAGGTAAGATATGTACACGTACATTTTCTATCCTTCTGATGGATCGCCTCATCAGCAACAAAGACATAGGTCGAGCAATAATGTTCCCTTTCAAGAGAAGCTTGTATTTGCCGAATCCTGTCGCTGCTAGGCTCTACGAATCTCAATAGTTTTAACCGCCCTTACAAAGCCTTTGGACACGGTGGACCTAGAAACGCTGTACTGCGAATCGCAGTGAGAGGATTTTCAAGCTGTTTTCGCTCTACTTTCTGGTAGCAGCAAGTGAAAGACGCAGTGTCCAGAAATTAAGTCAAAATACCCGGCTTCTATTTAAGGCTGTCCGTTGTCCCTGTTCCTGTTTAACAATCAGGTAGGTCACTCTCTGCGTAGATCCCAAGGTACTGTGGAGTGCATGTTGAGGTGGATACACTGATGACAATCCCAGAAATCAGGACAGGACAATAGACGCCTCCACCCATTAGTGTACACTAGACTACTAATTGTATGTCAGTGCCTCAAAACCCAACGTCATTAATTTGGTTAGCGCTAATAATTGCGCGATTGCGGAAAAGGCGCAGCTAGAATGTGTGCAAGTTTGAAAAACTCAGACCAGAATTATTTTTAAACTGCAAAGCCAAGAAGGATTTGTTCAAAAAGAATTAGTTCAAACTCACATAGCTTTCGTAAATGTGATATGCGCTCGTGTAGCTAAGAAATTGGGTTTTAGAACCATGGATTTACTTAACTTCTACGCTACCTATCTGCGCAAAGCTATGAAAAATGAATGCTGTTTTTAATGGTAAGCTGCATCAATGTGCATCGGTGTCTATGAAACATATGAAACGGCAGTAGAAGTCCACTTGTTATGAAGTCCACTGTTATGAAGAACCATATGGGATCAGCTTGTTTTTCGGAGTGAATTAGTGTCTGTTGTTAATGAAAAACTCTCCATAGATTGCAGAACTTTTTAGCAAACACGTTTGTGAGAACCCGTATTGCGAAACTTCCAGGAAGCCGGCAAATTTTCACAAAGTAGAAAGTTGAAAATGCAAGCAACTTTCGATGAATAATATGGAATGGTCATTTCAGAGTTGCAATATGAAACCAGGCAAGGAACTGTCACCTTTACATTTATATACACACATCACACTGCGCGTCAAAGTTATTTTTTGCAGTCCCCAGGAAACATACGCTGCGACTCCTTCAATGTTACTTCCATCTATCGAACGCCAAAACTATTCAACCGTTTTATCCCAGTGTTTTATTTCGCTTGAAATAGTTGCAAAAACGTATGCGCGGCTCTGTAGATTGTCTACAAACACCTCTTAATATCACATACATTTCAAAGATAGTAAACATTTCCCTCGGAAAAGAGTTTTCCATTTAGATGGGAACAATCTACTTTCGAAAAAGATTGGCGAAAACTGAAATACGTCCAAATAAAGAAACAAACAAACAACATTAGTGTTTTCAGTTTTTATTTAAAATCTTTAATAAAATAAAGTCCCTGGGATGCAATAAACGCCGTAAAATCCACGATGGCTGGAGCGGAACATCTGGTGATTTTCTGTCCGAAGAACCAATGTCCATCTGTGAAAATCACTGGGGGATTCGCGTTCATTCATTTTGACGATGAGCTTACAAGAAAATTTAGAGGTATCCATGGTTTTGTTGCTTAACAAATGTTTTACCATTTGGTACTGGAATGTAATGTTTTAGTCGCAAATCCTTGAAACAAGAGATCGATAAACTCCGTGGGTCATTGTGTGGCTGAGTAGTCATCTTCAGTAGAAACGTGGAAGTGTTACTCGTCTGTTATTTTTCTTGTCTCCAACCAATTCGAACGCCAGATAACAAAAAATTCTTGAGATACTGCTGCTGCTTCAAATTTAAATATTGTTTTCAAAAACAATAGATCACTTAATAAATGCACTCGTGCAACATAAAAAAAACCCAGTGTAACAATACGATGAATTTTCATTCGTCTCCCGGACACCTACACATAGTTCACATTTGTGCTACTCAAAAAACCAAATGGGTGCCCCAAAATATTCTCGGGGCTCCCCGTGGCGTAATCTGTTTTTACGCAAAACATTTGCTAACAATAAGATACCAGTAAATACGTTTACGCTGGTCTAAAGGCTTGCCTACAGTCATTTGCTGTTGCCCGTATGTTTCATGTTACCATCTTTAGCTATCAATAACTCATGGGATTTCAAAAGAGCTCAGCAATACGGCAGTATTGCCCCAAATGTTGCATGACTCCATGATCCCAACTACCTGGTGTACGTTAAATTTCATTTTAAGTTATCAATGCTTGGCTCCTGGCTTCTACTCAACCACTGTTTTTTGCCAAAAGGACAATCACCATTCAAAATTCTTTTTCTGTTGATGTAAAACATTTAGTTGTTTTTTGCAAAACTGTTGACCTTATTAATAAAATGGTTCAGCTTAATTGTCTGGTTGCCTTAAATTGGTCGATAAATGATGACAGAAAGACAGGAAACTGAAGGAAACCAACTTCGAGAATGTCTCAAATATATCTTTGCAAACAGTCAGTGGGAATTGCAGACGGTCTGGAAACCAGATAAAAACGTTGAAAGGATTCGAACCGCGAGAAATCAGTCAAGATATGTGGGACTGTCAAACACGACAAACTGGGCCACAGTTGATCGGGATAGGTTTTGCCATAAAATGATTTTGAACATAAAAGATTTGAATTATTTAGGGGATCGCGTGGGTTCTGGTATGTTGCTTACCCTGTACATCGAGATATATCCGCGCAACCACTTTCCATTTTGAGGATGCCGTACCGTTGACCATATGCGTCTGATAAAGCGAGCATGTGTACAAACCTCCATCCGATTGTTGAATGTTACTCAGATACCATGTGTAGGTATTGTGAATGTGGACACGATCTAATAATTAAAAAGCAGGAAAATATACATGCAAATTCATTGCAGGCGAATGACTTGGATGCACTGATAGCATCACTATTTATGATAACATCGGTATCCCGCACAACCACCTAAAATGTGTAATTCAAAGAATTAGGTTCGTTAGAACATTTTCGGTATTTTCAAAACACTAGCGTGTCCAATACACTATCCCTTCACACTATCAGGAATTCTAGGAGGTTTCCATGCTGTGCTTCGTCAGGGATATTGGTTTCATTTGATTGTCCAAGTAAGGTGACCGTTGGTTATTGAACGCATAAATGGTTGGTGGGGCGCAAAACGAGCACAATTTTTAACAGCCCCAAAATTATGTGAAATGTTTTTTTAATATTCGGTAAGATTTTATGCATGGTTATCATTCATTATATATAAGGGCAAGGGTAACCACAGTACAGGTGAGCAAATTTACGGGTTGAGTAGATATAAACCGCTTTATGGACGAACTTAGAAACTCATGAGCTTTCTTTGACAAGACGTGTGTACCTTTATTTGTAAATATTACAGTAGTACAATGAAGAGATCCGGTCTACCCACAACATTCATTGAATTCAATTAATTAGCTTACCTACTTACCTAAAATACTTATATTAACGCAGCAAAACAATGTATATTAAAGTCTGGATAGTGTTGTGTTGTGACATGGAGGCGCTGAAATTAACTCAGTTAAGGCTAACCACATGCGGTAAGTATGACTGGACAATAAACTCCAATGAACAACCACAAGGTCAAGTGATAAGAACCGCCAAAGCTGTGGTACCGAACTCCTTCTCAGCCTCTTCTAATTTTAAAAATACGGATATTCTGGTTTGATCTAAAAACAATAAAATCAAGAGATTATCGGTTTAATGGCTGTGAAAGGCTCCCGAGTGTTCGCGAACTTAGGGTATGTCTATGGAAAAGTCACAGATTCCCTCGTCGTTTGCTTTGTGATTGGACATTTTTCGTTTAAAAGCGTCTCCACTATCGTGAATCGTCTTTATTTGAAACAACGGTTCAGTGGGATTACAAATGTATCGCTGATAATTTCAACAGTCTATCCTGTAAGGCTATCTAGAAAGTAGTAAATTAACTGATTTTGATCATTTATTGAGGCGATTGTCAGTTTTGTATTTGACTTGAACCCTTCTTTATTGTAACTGCGATTACACAGAGCATCAATACTGACATCATACTATTACGTGACCACGAAAATTTATCTAATAGGAACCAATGAGGAAGCAAAAAAGGTCACAGACACATTCGGCACTTTATGAACGAAAGCAGTAATTTCCATACATAACACAATCCAAAGAGACAGTCGGGTTTCAAACTGTGAGTGTGCATGCCAAAGAATGAGTTAGGAGTCGTATTCTGTTTCTTCCCACACCAATTGGGTGAAATTGCGCCGGAGACCCCATTCAGCAGTTGAATAACACAACCGGAACCCTAATGTTTCAGTCATATCATCCAACCTACGCACCGCTAACTAGCATTCTGCCTTATTCTGATTAAAGTATAAGCGCCTTCACTGGGCTTGATAATCAGTGAATCCGCAAGCACAGAGCATAGCCAGTATAGAACACCTAAGCGAGCATGATGTTTGTTGCCTCATCGAAATGCCTGCCAACTAGTTTTGCGCAAGTAGGCTTTTGAAATTAGCTTACATTTTTGCAATTTTAAGTAATGATTGGAATAAAGCTTGGAGTGTATCAAATAATCGCCCTCATTCAGCTTTGCCCTACAATAATACTAGCTTCCAACCTTTCAACCAGTGAAAACTGACTTTGGAACAAAAGTTTATGCTCTTAATGGGGCTAAAATTAGCACAGCTAGCTAAACATAAACCCCATCTTTGATACTTTTGCAGTATTTATTGAAAAGCCGCCTTCCAAATAAAACATTAGACAACCTCTGAGACATATGCCTGTGATTCGCAGCTGTAAGTTAACTAGTAGACAGAGACAGAGTAATGGAAGTTAGCCTAAAAGATCGTATGCCTTTTGATTACATTCAAAATGTGGCAGATATCAGCTGGTTATACTAGATGAACAATGTCCTTGAAATCTCTCAAAAGCTAGGGTTACGAAAAACGCCTGTCAAAAACCAGCATTAATGCAAGAATGAGTACCAGTTTGTGTGTCTGTCTTGCGTCCACAAAGTATTCTTGTAGGATCTGTTCACCAACCGACTAACGAGATTTTGCAACAGTTTTTCACTACCTTAATTTATATAAACGGTAAGAAAAGGTAACAACAAAAGTGGTGCTAGAATTATCAGCAAATCTTTGTCTGTTCTTTGCGGTCCCATGTATGCCGTCACTAAATTTTGAATTAGGAATAAATCCAAAATGATGAACTGAGAATTGATCCTGTTGTATTCTTGGATGTCATCTATCCGACAGCATGCTGAATGCATAATTTTCAAGAAAATCGCATCTTTACTTTTTTACTTTATCAGATCACCGTCATTTTTTTTCATGCAAGAGATGGATGTTCAAGGAATACCAGTTTAAAACAAGTTCTCCCGAAAACATGTAAACCACATCACCCGTCAACTTCCCCACTTTTGGCACGCATGGGCAAACTCATAAAACTACGTTACCGCTTGCGGCCTGACTGCATGGCCGTGACGAAAAATAAGCAGCCGTTGATAACAAATTCTTGTACAACCTATTCTCCAATGAAGAGTATGAACCTTATGACTGGCAAATAAGATTCTCTCTCTCTAAAGTGGTAATAGAAGCATGATAGTACTTTCTCAAAAACAAAAGCTAATTGCAGGTAACCCGGGGAAACCCACATTCTATATTCCAACTAACAGAGCTTTTATTCTTCAAAAGTGACCATTCTGGTGAATTAACTCCAAAAGGCAAATACTACTGTCGGGCGCGTTTTAGCTGATCAGCACTGCGAACCCTGGCCGATTTCCGTATTTCAGCTCCGGCCTGTAAAAAGTGTTACGCCTGCGCTACCACCACAAAGTCAAGGCTCACAGAAAAAATGTGGATTAGCATGCCAAATCATGTGAAATTTGGGCTGCCTGCTCGTTTGGCTCAACAACGTTAGCCGTGCTAAAATATTTCAGCTATAGCCATTGGGAAATGTGCGAAAATGAAAAATACACGGACTTGCAACAACTCTCAAAGATCATGCGTAAATTTATAAACGTAATAATATAAACACAATTCTTTTAAAAATCGACACAAAGCGGTGACTCGTGACTTAAAATGCAGCGTTTGCACTTGACGTCCTCAAAGACGCAACGCTGTTGAAAAAGCGCACTCCATGGGAACAATGTGTTGCCAAAACTTTAAAGTCGCCACAGCAGACGAGTTGCTAGTGATCGGGTTAATAGACAGATATTCAGCGTATCCAAGATGAATGTTCGGTGGCGATTGACATTCAAAAAGTTATGAGTTCTTTCCGTATGTAACTGGTATTTACAGGGTGTCTCATAATAGTTGCAAAATTTAATTGTGTGATTAAATGCACGCAATATTAGTAGTCACATAAAGGAGGTTTTGTGTACCAGTTATTTGTTTACGACGGATGTCAGTTCGCGCACTGAAATTGTGAAAATCTGTTATTCCCTTGGTGAAAGCGCCACCGCTGCGCGTCGTGTTTACAAAACCAAACATGTTCTCATCAAAGATCCTTTTACCGTCTCGACCTTTACACGCTTGATTGCGAACTTTCGGTCCACTGGATTTGTATTGGATTTTCCCGCCAAAGGAAGAAAGTCTATGAGTAATGAAAGAGCGCCCACTGCACAGAATGCCGTCGAGCAACTTCAGTCCCAGAGCACCATGGCATCTTCGTCAGTAACTCAGGTGTCAGTTGACCGGCATTCGCCGCGCCAGCGTGCTACCGTTTCCGGCGCCAGTTACCTCCATATGCTGCAGACGCATGATATCCCGCAACTTAAGCAGCACAGAAAGTCATCGACCGTCTTTCGACAAGATGGCGCCTCACCCCCTCACCTCAAAACAAGTGAGAACTTACCTCCGAGAGCAATTTTTTGATGAGAGAGTCACTGCTCGTGAATTTCCAAACTTTTGGCCCGCAAGGTCACCCGATCTCACACCTCTGGATTATTGGTTTTGGGGAATGTTCAAGGTTTGCGTATATCATGAAAATAAACCGAAGAATTTGGTGGCGTTAAGAGCAAGAATTAGAGAGGTGTGTACACGAGTGACGCTTGAAGAATGTAAAAATGCTGTGTCTCACATCTCATACCGCCTTCAACTTGTTATATAGGAAAGGGGCGGTTTGTTTCACCATTTTTTGTAATGTCAGTTTGTTTACGGTAAGCCTTCCTAATGTGTGTATGTTTACATAAAAATGATAAATGTTTAAAGTGGTGTTTAAGTTTCAAAATGCGTATTATTTATGCACCTTATAGATTCAACTCCAGCCAACCAGTATTGCGCGATAAATTTCGGATTCTTTACTCCAGTCGGAATTATAGCCTAACCGTTTCTTGACTTCGCAGAACACTTGAGAACCATGTAATGTCGTCCAACATGAGGTTTTTTATTGTCTCACTCAATGGAAAGTACTAAAACAACAAACTAGGAGAGTATAGTGAAAAACGTGATGTCTTTGCTCGAGTTCCAAGACTATCCTTTTGCGTGCCTGCGTCAGAGGCGCCAAAAACTCAACAACCCTCTCATTATTGTGTATAAAGTGTAATATGGTTTCGATATTCTGGAAAATGTCCAATATCGTTACAAAGCAAGTGATGGAATCTAATGAAGTTAACACTGGTTATTCGTTCACCTGTGGACCTAGCTAGAGAAACATTACGTGACCTTTTAGAAGAGCGAATGTGCTCAGTGTGTTCAGCGCCATTATGAACAAGCGCATGCGAACCATTCTGAGGTGATTTATATCCAAGCCAGTTAAAACGTTTTTTCCTAGACCGCTTATTACACATAGCAGATTAGATTCTCTTTTGTTGCACTCTAGGGTCGTTGACTGGTA